CGTGCTACAACACTGTGTACACTCTATGGCGAGTGTGTTAGCAGGGTGCTTACGCACGCGCATGGCCCAGCAGGCACCTGGGTTCAAACCCTAGCAACAGCAGTTGCATCCCGGATCTTGATAATATAAATTTGGGAGCGGGGCGGGGCAGCGTGGGCGCGTGGCGTGCGCGCGTGCGGCGGCCTTGGCAAGCGCTCGTGGTGGCACCTCCTTTTTTCGCCATGTGTCACCTGCAGCATGCGACACTTTTCTCCCTCGTTTTCGCTACAAAATACCCGAAAAACATCGAAAAAACCCGCTGCCGGGTTTTGCTGTTTTTCCACCTGTGCGGGCTGCTGCCCAGTTGTATGGGGTGATGGGAGGGAGCGGGGACCGTTCCCGCTCCGATACCAATGTAGCTGACCCACCAGGTGTGGTGCTCCGCTAGTGGTAGAGATGGAGATGGAGGAAGAAGGGGGAGCAAGATGATGCACAGCGCAGCTCCCACGCAGGACTCCAACGCATGTACTCCAAAAATGTGCAAGTGAAGAATGAGCCTGAAAACAGACATTGAATGGGGTTTACCCCAGCGGACTGACGGGACAGGACTGGACTGGCTGGTACCGACAGAGGTACCGGCCTGGACTGGCCTACCCCGAATACAACACAGGCCTGTGAGAACAGGCCAACCCGAGGTCCGCTACAGACCATGCCGACCTCAATTTAAATTATAAGGGACGTTGGGCTTGATTCCCAACTCGTGCAGCTCCCCACGAATCGAAATGCGCATTTGTTTGTTTGTTGGAAAAAAAAAAACAATGGAAAAAAAAAACAAATGAAACGGGATGCAGTTTGACTACCAAGGCATGCACAAGGAACGGAAAACGAAACAACCGTCCTTCGGGACATCCATTAAAATTGGAACGATACAGAGAAGATTAGGGGCCATAAATCGAGAAATAGTCCATCCTCCCGCAGGAGGAGGACACGTTCATCCGTCTGCTATAAATAGTAACGAGTACAATTTATCACCTTTCACGGGACGCTCCAATCGCTTCATTTTTTCGATTCGTATACTGTGTCGAGCCCCCAGGAGCTGTTTTACGCAAGGATAACTTAACAAACAACAGACGAAAGAGAATAGACCTACTTTCCCAAAAAAAAAAAGAAAAAAGAATAGACCTACAAACACCAGATGAAAGAATCCCCCCCCCCCCAAAAAAAAGCAGACGAAAGAAACGACTCAGATTGGCAGGCGAATAGGACACTCATGGGTTTCTTGAAGCATGCACTCCGACCAGAGCAAACAACCCAGGCCCACATGCGGACGCATACACAAGAGCCTACTCCGTGCTCACCAAATGTGCAAAATGAGAAGATGAAAAAGATCCACCGCAATACTTTTTGTCTTTGTGTGCATATATGGTGCGTAGTCGAGCAAAGACCAGAACCACACACACGAATAGCGAGCAAGCGAGCGAGAGAGAGAGAGAGAGAGAGAGAGAGAGAGAGAGAGAGAGAGAGAGAGAGAGAGAGAGAGAGAGAGAGAGAGAGAGAAAGAGAGAGAAGGTGGA